TACCACACTTGTGAGATCCTCCTTGGCTGCTGGACACTGTTCCTATTGGTGTTTGGCCCATGCAGCTGCCTGTAGGTAGCTCTGAGCTGAGCGCCTGGCCAAGGCACATGTAAGGCTGGTGGGATGAACCTTCCAGGGAGGGAATGGGACTACCACAGTAGCAGGCATCAAGGATTTGAGAAGTGCAAAATGCCTTTGGTCCCTCTGCTTGTGTTGCCTGCCTTATGTGGGACAGGAGAGGGTTTGACTTTTCGGAGCTGTAGGGCTTGTGGTTAGCTTGCAATCCAACCTGAAGGTGTGGCCCTCTTTATAATAATTTGATTGTGTTTAATCCATGTTACACAGTGCGATACCAGTCATTGTGTTCTTGCCTCTTGTACTTCTGCTGCAGACACCTGTGAAGCGTTTCCCCCCCCCGGGTGGTGGGCTACCAAGCACTGACTGTAGGGAGTTTCTGCAGGAAGAACACTCGCCACCATATGCATTTTCTCCTAGCTGGAAACTTTGCTTTCAGAGACACAGCCTGGTTGATAAGCCCCAGCCATGCAATTAACTCTCAGCAGGTGCATTTCATATTGCATCAATGAGTGCCTCCTTACAGAGCCTTCATCACTCTCAGCGCAACAAAGATGTCCCATGGTTTTAAATGTCACAACTTTTTTAGACTTCATCTTTTAGTAGTTGACATTTATTGCTGCCTTTTTCTGTACTGAATATTCTATTAATCATTTTATTTCTAATAGAGCTTACCCTAGCCACTTCTGTACGTATCTTTGTCCTGTACACATCACAATTACTGGTCCATAAGAGGACCTAGCAACACCTTTTTCATTTTCACAGCACACCACCACCCGGGTGAATTTCTACTGGCAGTTTTTTGCCCTGTGCCTTCAAGCTGCTAAGTGGCTTCAGTTCTTATAGGAGAAATCAATAGAATTTGTAACACCTTGAAGGAGGTAATAAGCACTTTGCAGGATCAGCTTTTGGGCCTCAGCTTCTTTACTGATGAATTTGCCATGACAATAATTCCTGAAATTTCACTGTCTCTGTTAGCCTTTATCTCAAGAATCTGAGCTGCTATTATGGAAAATAAAAATGAAATAAAACTAAAATGTCCTGTAAATCCCTTTCTAATCTCAGTGCCTTAAAATTTTTACTACTTAAACTCTTAAATCATCTGGCTTCATTCACAGACTATTTGGGTATACTTGCTAATATGATCAGGTTGACACTTTAAAAGGGGGACCAAGCCCTTGAATGATGTTTGCACTGGGAATCAATTGCTTTTTAAAGCAGAGGTGGCATAGGTGAATGAGAATAGCTTAATATGAACTCAGAGAATAATTTTTCCCTATATTGAATAATAATTGAAAAGAACAGTAATTTTAGGCACACAAGCCCTGCAAGAGCTTAGCAGGGTTTAGTCAAGTACTACAGAGGAAAACCTTTTTTTGGCCCTTCAGAAGACAGTAATTTAGAAGGTAGTAAGTACCACATCACAGTTCACATTAACAGAGGTAGAAAGAACTGCATCAACAGCTTTAATTTGGTATATACCGCTCAATCTTTGCTTCCCACTGCAAATCACAAATGACCTCATACACTCCCAAAGCAATTGAAGACGGGTCTACAAAACCATTTCATAAGAGTGACACTTTAGGTTATAAGAAATTGGAGGGAAAATATTGATGAAAAGCAGAAAATTGAAATGAAAACTTGAATTTAATGTGAGGTAAACGTGTTACAATCACTCTTCTTTAAGACATGTAAACTGTGGAGTGAAACCTTTAAGGGTAGCTCCAGAAAAAGTCACAGCAGCAGTAGTAATAGCAATAACAGAAAGTGTATCAGTTTGCATAGGCTTTTTTGTAATTACATTTTCCTCACTTTGGACATGGAGCCTGGGACCTCTAAGAGCTCCAGCTCCACCTAAAATTTGCAGAGCTGCCTGACACCTTACTGCAAATCCACAGCTGGAAGCTTGGTGATAACAGAACCCAGGGTCAGTACAGAATTTCTAGGGGTTTCAGAGCTTCTCCTTAGAAGTCAGAGCTTTGAAGCCCCTAGATGGAAGTAGGACTTCCACAGGTTTCCAAGTGTAGGACCCTGCAAAACACAGCTAGAGCCCTCTGAGAGCTGCCACCACTGCTTGGCTCTGGTCTGTGGCAGGAGAGGAGTTTTGAGGAAAGAAAAACAACCTAACCTGAGAAGAACTTCAAGGCATACCTTGAGTGAGCCAGCTGCACTGTTGTCTTCTCAAGATGAGAAGATACCTGCAGCCGGATAAGTGAAAAACAAGTCTCTTGCCGGAAAAGTTTTGAATGGAATTTTTATTTTTGGATTAACAGTTGTCCTAGAGACCAGCTGAACCATCTGAATCAACAGATTTTACTGTTGTTATGTGGTTAATCCAGTGACAACTAATGTGAAATATTGGTCCTTCAGGTAACTGACTGATTTCTGTGTTTACACAATACTTAGTCATTTGCTTTAGAAAGTTAAAAAATACCTAATGTATAGAATGCAAAGAAGCCAAGCTGATTCTTCAGCTGGCTTCAACCATGAGTCCACACACAAGCCTCACCATAAACAATATTCATGTGTATGATCTGTTCATGTGCTCTCTTGTTCATGCTTATTGACTCTCTGGGAGCAACCTGCATAAATCAGCTGCTGTGCTCAAGTAGTTGCAATCTCCAAATGACTAAGAGAAAAACCTAGCAACCGTGCACAATTTAATCCTGCTGCACTGAGCCAAATATCCTCCACAGAGTTTCAGGCACATACTGATATCTAATCTGTTTTTTTACCACTTTAACTGTTACGGCAGCTATTAGGTGAGTGCAACACCGTTCTTCTTAATTGTGTTATTTTGGCTAAGTATCCAATTTATACCTTTCAAAAATGCCACAGATTTGTTCTTTGGCAGGACATAAACTTGCAGCCATAACATATTGATCTGAAAGACCTCCATTTGATAGCTGTCACTTAAGAGCCACTGGGCTAAATTGTCTCTCTTTTGCAAGTCCCTTTGCTGACAAAGCTTTGTCTCAGTGTAGCTAACAAATTTTTACAACAGTGTAACATGAGGAATGTTTTCACTTGCCTGTTTTTTTTGTCTTAAATAGAAAGGTCTATTGCGCTTGACTAGACATCCTGTTACACAGTACTCAACTGTAGCTGCCTTGTGTGCATGCTGCTGAACCACAAATAGTGCAGAGGGTCAAAAATTGTCCCTATGTCATACTGTCTGAAGACAAACGTAGATTAATTTGAGGAATAACATATGTATGACAAAGTGAGCATATGGCTTTCAGTAATTTCTTCATGGTGAAGATAAGCAAAGTTCATTATCATGATTATTTTTGTATTTCAGTGGAAAAGACATTCTTTTTTCTTGTCTAACAATCTTTGTCAGAGAAATATAATGAAGGAAAGTTCTGACCTCTTTTGTTCCGAAATTGTTTGTACGTGTATGCACAACCTGAATCTATTTTTGGCTGCTTCCCTACATATTTCAATTAACTGTGGGGAAAGTAAAAAAAAAAAAACAAAAAAAACCAGAAGATAAACCTTTCCAGTATTTCACGGAATCACAGCCTGGTTGAGGTTGGAAGGAACCTCTGAAGCTCATGCAGTCCAGCCCTTCTGCTCATGTAGGACAGCCTACAGCAGGCTGCCCAGGACAATGCCCAGAAAATATAAATGAAGGTGAATATACGTGAAAAGATATATGAGAGATGCCTAGATATGTGAGAGTTGCTATTATTATCCTGACAGAAACATAGCAAATGTGTTGAAATAATTTGCAGAAAAGCATGCAAGAATTTAAAGTGGGCTTTTTCAGTTGGTCAAACAGCTAGCACTGAGAGAGTCAAAAGATGAACTCTCCTTCACAACCTAACACCTTTCTCTGCCATCCCATCATGGTATTAATATGTTAATCTAGAGCACATTTGACTTCCTACTGTTTCTTCTGCCATCTGTGGGGATAGCAATTCCAATACGATATAAATATTAAAGTAGTTGCATAGAAGATATGATGCCCACTGAAGGGAAGTGAGGGCAGACAAATTAAAGCAGATCCCTTGGCACTTCAGGTTACTGTCTCAGAAAGGACAAGGCTTTTACCAGATGTGTAGAAATAGGGAGTCAACAGATATAGTCCATCTTTATTTCACATTCCAAAATCCCTACAGCAATCAAAGACGATTGTCCTTGGATTTACCTTTTTCCTACGTTTTTACTTCCGAAGATCAGTGTGTTTGTAATTCTAGGGTCATTCTGCTCCAGACTAACAAAAGTTCATGACCTCTGTCCCCTTCTTTCCTTACTGAAACTGATACCCTTTTCAGTCGCAGGGTGCTATTTGCTGGGAACGAACAGATGTAATTTAAAAGTTGTGGGAACAAAACTTTTGCTTGGGTCTCCTAACTCCTTAGGAAGTCATTACCTTCGTTTCCCACTTGCACTTTTGAAGAGACATATTTTGACCCTTTTTATTGATCTTTTGCCATCAGTGCAAAATTTTCTCCAAGCAAATTTCCTCTTTTGTCCATGTGTACTGCCCACAGTATATAAGGAATGCTTTCAGCTGATTATAATCTTCAGAGTTTGCATGACTTAAATCATGCTTTGCAGCTTGGTTAAATAGTATTGTGAAGAAAAAACCCAGTTGTCTAAATGTAACCCCCCTGTCCACTCCCAAATAAAGTTCTTCTTGCTGCCTTTTCTTAAATGTTGCATGTATGACTGTGATAGTGGTGAGTAAGAGATCTATAAATGGGTTGTGGTGAGGAGTAAACATCATGTGGTCGTTCCCTTTGGAAGCTTGTTGAGTGGGAGGCATTTACTGAACCTCAGTGCACTTGCTATAATCACTGATTTTCTATGAAGTGCTAATAGGATATGTCTGTTCTCTCCTTTGTAAAGTTGCTTCTTATAAAACAGGCAGCCCTAACAGAATCTTAGGGTTAAATATGTAATGCTGGAAACTGGTCAAATAAAGACAAATTTTATTTAGCCCTCATGCTAGGTGATTCATGCATGGTCTTTAATTATATAATATTAGTACTGAATGTGGTCATTTTATTACATATATGGAGATGAAGCCAAAATCTGGATTCATTTCAGGTTTCATCTTCTTTCAGCTAACATGTTGTATAAGAACAGAAAATACTGACAGTTGGAATTACTGGTGCTTTTTATAGGGTAAATCTTCTATCTGCTTGCTGTTAACAAGTTTGGGCATATTTTCAAGGGGAATAAAAAGGAGATGCAACAATAAAAACTGTCATTTTGAAGAAGAAAAAAGGTGAGATTTTGCAATTCATTATTAGGTTTATTTTTGAAGTTGCATCTCTGTTGAAGAGCACATATATTAAATAATTTCTTACATTAAAATAGCCATTGCTTCTCACTGTATTTAGAAAACTCAGGGACCCAATTTTTCTTGTCCCATAAGAAATGCTAACACTGGCATCAGACCAACTTCAATCACAGCCTTGTGGATTCTCAGACAGAGAAGGAAGAAAGTCTTGAGGGCTGAGAAACTCTCCAATTCCATGATACAAAAAAGCTCCTAAGCATGTGCTTATGTCCATCCTTAACCGGGGCAACACTGGAGCATTTGCTGTCAAGTACATCCTTTTCCGTTTTCTTTAAAATAGCAGAGTGTTGTTCAGTATAGTAAGGCTGATTGGAGTGGCAGGGGAGGCTCTGGTAGATAAGCTGCAGCAGCTGAAAGAATAACCAGGGAACATAACTGTGGGGATTATTAATGTACCATAAGCAACCTATTTTTGAGTTTACTGACTCCCATTGATCTCTGGAGGAGTTTGAGCTCTAAAAATAATGTGCCTTTTGGAGGTGAGAGAGGGAGAATTGGAGCTGGCCAGGGGGAAGTCTGAGTGGACTGGAACATCAAGGGTAGATAACAGAGGGTCTGCTGACTGCAGAGAAAGTTCAGGTAGCAATTATAAGCAACCAGAGAGTAGAGGCTAGACCTGAGATAAAGATAATATCATTAGAAGGTGTTAAAACAGCACTGCTTGCAAGCAGTGTGCTTCAGACAAAAATTGATAAGCGGAGGCTTAATTTTCCTCTACATCTGAGCACTGAGGCAAATTTATCATCATGGCAACTTGGTTGCGCCTGCATTTGAATGGCAAATGGCAGGGTTCTTGGGCACTTTACTATTTTTTTTTTGCTCATCCTTTGAATTAACTAGTCTTGTAGGTGCATAGCCTTCTGAAAGACTGGCTTTCCTTTGAGTAAAGCTGCTATGTTTCAGTTGTGAGACAGCACAGTTCTCTCCAGACTGGGAGAACTGGAGACAGCAGACCCTTTGGTGGGTCAACTGACTAGTGAGAGTCCTGTGCCATGGTAGGAGGAAGAAAAGAGTTGCTTGCTCAGCTAGATGGGGTATGATGCCAGTTGGGACCTTTCAGCCCTGAGGTGGTAAAGGTGTTAAGTGATGTTAATATTGATTTCAGAGGGAGCTGGGTGTCAAAGGTCTGGGATCTATGAGGAATCGAAGAGAAGACAAAGGACTACTTGAAGAAAGGGAGCATGTGGCTCGAAGTAATCCCAGCAGCCAAATTACTGGGATTATTAGCCACACAGTAATACAGTATATAACACCTTGTTGCTTTACTTTGTAAACCTATTGACAGTTCCACAGCAAAGCAGGGACAAGCAGGGACCTTGCACCTGGCCCACAAATCCACCCTGACCTTCGTAGGTGCAGGGCAGCTTTCCTGGGACAAACAGTCTCTTTCCCGACTCACAGACTAGCTGAGGCTTGAGAGCACCTCTGGAGACTGCCCAAACCACTGCTCAGGACAGGGTCACTATGCAGGGCCATGTCCAGCTAGATTTTGATTATCTCCAAGGATGGAGACTCCACAGTCTCTCTGGGCAACCTGTGCCAGTGTTTTGTCACCCTGACAGTAAAAAAAAAAATGTTTTCTGTTTAGATTAGATTCTGTGTATTGCAATTCCTGCCTCTTGTCTCATGTCCTGTCACTGGGCACCACCAGTGAGGAAAATCTGGCTCCATCTTCTTTCTACCCTTATCAGCAAGATCCTTGGGAGCTTGGTGTGTGTAGCACAGGAAGGCTGGTATTAGGAGGTCAGCAAATAAGGAAAGGTTAAACTAGTTAGAGAAGATAAGCATGGAGCTGCCAAGCAGGGCAGATGCCTCCTCAAGGATGACAACAGCAGGAAACACAGCCTTACTGTCTAAGACACTGAACCTGCTCGAAAGACGTAAAAAATATCATGTAGGCCTAAACCCCAGAATGCTAAATTACAGCTGTCCTTCACACCACAAACCTGCTTATGATGCATTTGGAGGCAGAACATGATGTTGGCCTCTTTCAGCAGACAGATCAGAAAACACTTGTGACACCAAGGACCACATTAATCTGAGATGTGCTTGCTGCACTCTGCACTTTCTCTCTCTTGATCCCAGGCTTGGGTGCTCAAGTTTAATCACAGCCAGCAATGTTTTATCCACCCACCAACAGAAAACAGTCACCTTGTGATATTCAGGAACAGGAACAGAACAGTTTGAACAAGAAAGGAGAATACTTGACTGGAACACACAGAGAGCTCATGTAGGCAGGCAGTAATTATATAGGACAGGATTACACATGCATGTGTATCCTGGGGAGCCATCACATACTGCCTTAAAGTTGGATTTTGTTTTGAGATCAGAAAGGTAAGTGCCTAAACTTACCTGATTGGAAGGAAGTTTCAGCTGAAACAGAACAGTACATCGCCTTACTGAATCAGGCTATGAGACAATTGTGTTGTTTGATTGTTAATGTCATAGTGCATGTTAGTAGCTCTGCGTGTGGTTTATGATCTCTTCCCTGTGGACAATGACACCCCCTCACTTTACTTTGAGTCAAGTTAATTAAATTTTGACTTCTTTATTCAAAACAAAATACTTCCAAGCAGTTAGTGTAAACCATGCAGGGTTTCTCTTAATAGCACGTCTTTTCACCAGGGAAGTGAATGCTAAGCAATTCCAGCCATTTGAATGTTCCTCCACTATTTGTTCCAATGCGTACAGCCTACACACATTCATGAGCAAAGTAAAACCTCACTTCATGCAGCATATAGTGACATATAGGTTGCCATTTATTTTATCTATTCTGTGCTTTTTCTCGACTTCTTAAACATTTGTTAAAGGTTCATGAGTTCAGTAAAATTTACCAAAAATAGAGCTGTTTCTCCACCTCAAATACCTACATCTTAGCTGCTGAAATGTATATACTGAGAAAGTTAGTGTCTTGAGCTTTTGACAGTTAATTGCAAAACCTGTTTTCCTCGGTATTGAGCTGTCTGGAACCACCGATATCAACAGCAACCACCTGTACCTCCTAACGTCAAAGAAAAGAGGAATAGACCCTATGCTGGGCTTCAAATTAACTGTGACTATGCAGGAAAGAGTCTCTGTAGACAGGTCAGTCGAAACTGATCATCATTCCTTAGAAAGCAGCTAATTGCCACTTCCTCCCCCTTACTTTATGTAAGTAAATAAATTAACTCCAGTGGGATTTATACAAACAATACAGAAAATACTATGCTACAGTGTCTAGGATACTGTCTTCAGTGCTGGTGAGTCCTGAAAATTAAAGCAGAAATATGGGAGGAATGGAGTTGTGACAAAAATAGTTACAGGAACAGATACGCTACCAAAAGAAGAGAGGCTGAAAATCCCTGGGACTGTTAAGTTTGGACAGGAGACAAAGAAGGAGACTCACTAAAGGCAGAACAGAGGAAGCAAGAGAAGAATATATTCAAAACAGCTGAAAAAAAACAAACCAATAATAAATGTATACATATATTTATTATGTATGAATATACCAGTAAATACTATTTACTAGTAAAGTAAATACTATTTTTATACAACTGATGCATCCCTACTACCTGCAGCATGGTCATGCTGCTGTGTGATGTGTTAGAATTTTCTGCTTGTGCCTGCTGAAGCAGTGCCAGGGCTTTTCTGGGTAAGAGTCCCAGGGTCTGTGTAGGGCTGGACCCTGCTCACCAAAGTGCAGGGGTAGCCCAGGAGCCCCCTGAGTGCAGCCCTCCAACCCCATCACAGCTACCCTGTACTGAAGGCAAAACTCCAGGCTTTAGAATCTTGAGCTCTTATCAGTCATGAAGTTTCATCAGTCACAGATTTGAAGTGTAGATGGGAAAAGCTATTGGATCAAAAAGATTTGTTTTACACCCACTCTGTATTGCAAACAAGTACACTCACTGAAAGTAGGAAATTGCAGGTGTGGGGAATATACTCTCCCCTTCCCAAATTTACAGGTACTTTTCTGCATGCTCTGAAAATACCTGAGAGTGCACTGATAAATTATTAATTTCTGGTCTTGTATTTGTCACACAGGTCTGACAAGAGAAACTGAATGGATTCAATGAATGGAGAGAATTTGAAATATTTTCTATATTTGTATAAAGACTATGAACTTCCTAACTCTGCAGTACCCCATAGGAAGCATCTTCTTCGTACATGTGTATCGACACTTTCTTGTCCATTTTGTTTAACATAGGAAAGTCGTGCTGAAATAAAACAGAACACAGCAACTAGCAATGAATGTGTATATATTCAGGAATGATTTTGACCTGAGAATGTGGAATAGTGTGATTTGAAGTTTGAGCAAAAGTAGAATAACTATTTTAAAAAATTATAAAGTCTTTATTTACAATTAATTGGGTTTCTTTCCTTTATAAAAAAAAAAATCAATATGGACAAAAGAGTTTTAAAATTATTTGACAAAATGCATAATAAATGAGGAATGTAACATCTAATTTCCTGCTTGTACTCCTGGTTATAGGACAGGAATCATGCATCTTGTAATAAAAGAAATGAAAATATTAAAAGGGATGGTCTTTCTGATGAGTTTAGCTAAATTCTTCTTTTGTTGTAGAGACTAAGTACTTCTTAAGAATTTACAGTGCAGTGGTGTTCTGACATTTATGCATCACCTTTACTTTTACAATGAAAATACAATATGTGAGCTAGTTGATAGAAAACCTGCAACCTTTCCTCAAATAAACAGGTCATCCAGCCTTGATGGAACATGTTCCTGAATATAGGTTGAAGGATGACTATCATCTTCAAAATCCCATATAAAAAGGGGACGTTGAAATACTGAAGCTGGTCAGAAAATCATGTATGATCACAGCAACTCATACATACAGTGATTAATCCCTGACACTTGTTTTATATGCACTGTACATAAATGAAGACTGTTCATTGCATATTCTATTTTTGGAAATGATATCTTATTGTTAGAGAAATTTAATACTCTGTGTCTCCTTGGTCTCTCTTGTGTTATTTACTGGGAAGGGATAAGAAGAATTGTTTTGTAATAGTACTCTACCACTGATTGAAACTATTCTACATGCTCTGAAACTCTCTGCCTGGTTCTTCTTTATTCAATTAAAATAAAGATAATTATTCTGCTTAGAAAACAGTTTTCAAGTTGAAAATTACTAACAATGACATCTGTTTAATTCTTGCTTGCTTCATCAGACAAGACAAAAGCTTACTGATTATTTTTGTATTTTAAATTATTACATATATTTGCATTGCTTTGTACAGGAAATTAGAAAAGAGCTCTACTCACTGCAGCTCAATTAAAAATACATTCTTGTATTTTTTACTTTCAATATGCAATACCAACATTGCTTAATATCCTGCTTCATCCTTACATGCTTATGGCTGATTTCCCTTATGGCATTCCTTGCAGGCAAACATCCCCAAAAGACAGGTTGAAAAGGAAGTGTCAAGAGACAGAGTGCATCAGGACCACCTTACATTTACATACTGATAAGATTAATGTGTCTATTCAATCGAAAATGAACAATTTTTCCCGACCCTGCATTATCAGTCAGTGATATTGGACTGCATTGTTCCTGCCAGTATGGAAGTGATAAAACAAGGAGAAAACATGCAATCCCTTGAACATAAAGCATGTTGAAGGTGAGATGAGTCAGGGCCTCAGCTTTTATTATTCTTTACTCACTTTAAAAATACTCATTCCAGAGAACTCTGGAAAGTTAAAGCCACAATTTTCCCCTCCTTTCACAATTAGGAAACTTCATAGTGGAAATTCTGGCTGATGGGGAGAGCTGGGACCAGATCCCAGTCGTCATATCTGAATGTGTAAGTGAAAGCAAAAAACCATCCCTGACCCAGAAGTGTACTACTTTTGCCAGATTTCACCTTCTTGCTCCCAAATGGAAGGGTGCAACCAATAATCACTGAAACATCTTCATTGTGGGGATGAGTTACACAGAGGCAAAGAATATTTTTTTAATAAATTTCATTTTTATTTTAAATAGAATTTCAAAATACATATAATTTAGAAACACCTCAAGGCTGACAGCTACAGGGCATGGGGATCAGTAAGGACCCTCAGTTAGGTCTTAGCACTACAAGGAATCCTTATGAAAGCACAAAATTAGCAACTAAGTGCTAGAAAAAAAGAGGATATGAAGGCTCCCTGTTTCTCAGGAGGCAAACTGTTAACAACTGGTATGAACCATCATGTTCTATTGATGTTACTTTTCATCTAAGTCTTATGAAAAGGTATGACTGTAGGGAGTACACAGACCAGTGAAAGATGCCCTAAGAAACTGCAGTCTATTACTTCTGGCATGGAAAATTTTGCCCTCTAAATGTTAGATTTTGGCACAAAGTTAGTGAAAGATTGAGGTCTTAAAATGAAGGATGAGCACAAAAATGCATAATAACAGAGCGTGGTAAAATCATGCCTATTTCATGTGGTTACCTGCCAGCCTTTGAGTGTATGAGCTAAACTCACTAACGCCTGCATACAAACACCTTACTAATGTGACGATACATGACCAGCTGGCCAGTGAAGCCAGAGGAATGGTTGCAGCAAAATAAATAGTTATTATAACTGAACCACAGAGAGAGAAACTCCCCTCCTCCCCACAACCCCATACCTGCTTAATGAAGAACCCATGAAATGAAGTAAAATAGCTGGATTTCAATGTCATCCCTGCTCTCTGGTCTCCATGAAGTCCTGTTATGGCAGTAAATCAAAAGGACAGTATTTCCATGGTGTCTCTAAGCTCTGTGCATGTAAGGTGGAGGAAGAGCTTCCTTTACTAACTCCCTACGCAGTGCTCTGCACTGTAAGTTTTTTATTGTCCCAGTGGTGAAAGGGAGACTTCTTTCATCTATCTGAACATGTTTTTCTGAGAAACTGTTCAGGAGTGTGGTGGAGACTTATTCTTTTACAAAAAACAGAAACAGTTTTCATGCTGTGCCCACAGCAAAGGGTTTAGTCTAATGAGACACCAAGACCTTGACGCATTTGGGAAGACACTTCTAACTGTTGGTCACTGAACAAAAACACACTGTAATGATTTCTCTGATCACCTGCACAGAAAATCCAAACACACAGAGGTGAAGGTAAAGGTAGAGGCAAAACAATAATTCCTGTTACCTGACATCTTTTGGTGTGTTTGAATGTATTTCTAGTTTATTACTCTGGTTTAATCACTTTCAGTTAAAACATTATAATGCTTCTGCATTTCCAAGACAAATGATATTACTTGCCTTAAAACTCTGGAGGTTTGGCTCTGTGCATAACTTCAATTATGGAACTAAGCTGGCAGTAAGTAATGGTGTAAGCTATTATTTTTAGTAGTAAAAGCAAGGCCCCACTACACTACTTTACTTACTTTACTAACAAAACATCTGTAGTTGCATTCTACTGTGTTTGTGGATGTGAATTCCCAAAATCAGTCTTGAGATGTAGTTCATTGAGTTTAGTGGTGTTTTACCAGGTCTGTGCTCAGTGTAATCACAAGGGTAATGAAGATGGTCCTTTTATTTATCTCTTTTTCCATGCAGTCTGTAAATTATTTATAGGAAGATGTAATAAAAATCTGGCACTTTGGACATTTTGTATCATAAAAAATTGATGTTGAGAGAAG